TTGTTTGGTTTTTTTTTTTTTTTGAAGAGACATGGATCTTGCTTCTTTGGTCAGCAAGGACTGAGCCCGACACACTGCCAGAGCCGCTCATTCCCAGGCTTTATAGACCAGACCCTCCTTGGCCGAGTGACATCTCACCTGGGGCTGGCGCTGCTCTCGTGTCCCCCTGCCATGGCCGAGCCCTCCCTGTCCGGTCACATCTCCGTCAGACCAAGCTGAGCTGCCGGAGCTGCGTGGGAGCTCAGCCCCTGCCTCTCATCCTCCCCTCTGAGCATCAGGCACCGTGGCGTAATGGATAACCCCGGGACAGGTCCTCCGCAGAAACCAACGAGTAGGTAGGGTAGCCTACCCAGGAGCCCACCAGAAGTTGAAGGGAGCTGAAGACCAGACCAGACCTGCACACCCATGGGAGAAGCACCACTTTGCCCAACCTCCACATTGGGCCCTCTCCCAGCGGCCATGGGACTTGCAGGGGCACGTGTGCACCCCCTTTGTGCTTATGCTGCGCTTCCCAAACCTCTACCTAGCTTTGGGCAGCTTGAACCACCTCCCCGGGGAGACCCCAGCCGCGATCGCATCTCAAAAATCATCTCCTGGTGCCGAGAGTGCTTGTGCCTGCTGGTGACGGTGAGCCTTCTCCAGTGAGCAACTGGGGCACCGCTCAGCCCACGTCCCCAAACTCATGGTCCGTGTGTCCGGACAACCCTCTTCCCCTCCTGGCTCCAAGGGCAGCGGTTTGGCTAATCCACCTCAGCTGGCTCAAATACAGAGCCCAGGGGTGCCTGCGGCTGGCCTTGTCCCCAGCCAGGGACCATGCCTGGGGCAGCAGCAGCAACCGCCAGGAGCCGGTTGCCATTTCCCCAACACATTCCTACGGAGACGAGATGCTGCCTGACCCGCCAGCATGAAACATCGGAGCTCTCCGGGAGCACCTCCGTCCCTGGAAGCGGCTCTGAAACCCCCTCAAACAGGGAGAAACACACAGGCAACAAAAGCGCTCGATGGAAAGAGAAACCCCGAGAGAGTTTCTGGCTGCAGAGCCAGAACCAGGGGAACTTGGCTTCTCCGCTGCCTAGTAAGGACCACACAGCTTTCCCCTCGGCAGCATCTCTGCCCCACACATGTGGCATCTTCCTGCTTTCGACACTGGGACGCTGCTCAGTGTCCCAGCTGTGCCAGGGAGGCAGTGAGGACAGGGCACACACGTGGCCATCAGGGACCCGTGCTGGCCCCTCACGTCCCGCAGCGCCATCACCGGTCCCCGGCAGAGCTCCAGCCCCTGCAGAAATCCCCGGCGAGGCTCTCCCCGGCATCGCAGGGCTTTCCCCGAGAGCCTAGAGGGTCCTGCTCGCAGGGATCTGTGCCAGCTGGGAAAAAACCCATCTCTGCAGTTTAGGAGCGGTGTCTGAATTTCCCCAAGAGACAGCGGGAAAGCAGCAGAAAATGCAAAGCTGTTTGTTACCCACCCAGCAAACGCAATTCCTACTTATCCACCCATCACTGAGCAGACAATTTAAAGGCTCAGCTCGTGGCGGCAGCTACTGCCCTTCGGCTTTAAAATTCACAGCCCCAGCTTCCCGCCACTGCCCTGGGACTTGCCCCGGCACCAAGCAATGGGCCGGGAGTATCTGGGCTGGGGGAAGGTAGGGAAGATGATTCCCTGCTGATCCAAGCAGGCACGGTGAGAGCAAGGGAGGGGGAAAGGGTACAAAGGGAAAAGAGCGGAAAGGGGCTTGGGAGAGAACGTCCCACAGCGATGG